CCATCACATTAGGGATACAAATAAGGATACAAAAATGTGCTGGAGAAACACCAAGAGGGAAAACTCAAGAGATTTACAGAGAAAGAAGAAATAAAGATCAACAGCTTTGATTTCAGATGTTATTGGTGTGGTAAATTTTTAAAAGGCAGAGATCCTATGAAACCATTAAAATGATCATGTAGGTCTATATTGACATGAATTTAAATATCTGAAATATTTATGGAAAGGGGTGAACTAAACCATGTCTGCCCAAAATTTGGCCTAGCCGCCAGTGTGACATAAAAATTTACAAAAACAAGATTCTGTTGTTTTAAAAACTACCAGGTTGGGCACGATGGCTCATGCCTGTAATCCCAGCACTTTGGGAGGCCGAAGCAGTGGATCAGGAGTTTGAGACCAGCCTGGCCAACGTGGTGAAACCCTGTCTCTACTAAAAATACAAAAAAATAGCCAGATGTGGTGGCAGGTGCCTGTAATCCCTGCTACTCGGAGACTGAGGCAGGAGAATCACTTGAACCTGGGAGGCGGAGGTTGCAGTGAGCCGAGATCATGCCATTGCACTCCAGCCTGGGCAACAAGAGTGAAACTCCATCTCAAAGAAAATTTTTTAAAAATCCTAAAACTGTCAGTCTGATGTGGGAGGAGGTAGAGAATACTTGATTTGCAAGGGATAATGGACACTAACATAAACTGTTGGTGAAAATGTGCGTCAAGAGCTGGAAAGCACCTGAGATTTTTACTGTGTTTGGAGACAAGGCCTTTAAGTAGGTAAGTAGGTTACATGAGGTCAAAAGCTTGGGGCCCTGTTCTGGTAGGATTTGTATCCTTATAAGAGGAAGACAGAGACACCAGAGTATCTTTTATATTATTTGACTTTCTGTGTAAACATCTGTGTCTTTTATTGTCAAGCAAAAAAAAAAAAAAATAGTTTTCATTTTAGGGAAAAAAGGAAGTGCCTCTTGAAGCCAACCTCAGCATAACTCCATTTTTTTTTTTTTTTTTTTTACCTTTCTGGTTTGTCACATTTCGGCTACTCTTATGATTGTAGGGACGTGATAATTCCCACTCAGTGATTTTATTGGTAAGTCAAGTGTATCCTGAGATAAATAATCTTAGATGTTATGGTAAGTGACTCCTGAGGAAAGAATAGTCAGGGTCTTGGGAGACAGGGCTAATACCACATGACATGTTAGATTTCAGCCTGCTTAAGTTCACATTCAATAAGAGATTCCCAGTCATTAGGTTGGTGGAATATCTTTTGCTTCAATCTCTCTGCTATCCAATACAATGCCAACTTATTTTAGTGGTTCTTTCCTTTGATCAACAGCTTTGATTTCAGATGTTATTGGTGTGGTAAATTTTTAAAAGGCAGAGATCCAGAGATAATTTCCTTTTTAATCATAGTTAGTACTTTGGTGTAGGCAGAAAAGCAAATGCAGTATTGCACATACTGGTAAGGCAATTTTTTTTTTAGTTAGTACACAGAGAAGGCTTGTGGGGTTTTTTTTGTTTTTTGTTTGTTCGAGATGGAGTTTCATTCTTGTTGCCCAGGCTGGAGTGCAATGGCACAATCTCGGCTCCACTGCAACCTCTGCCTCCCAGGTTCAAGCTATTCTCCTGCCTCAGCCTCCAAAGTAGCTGGGATTACAGGCATGCCCTACCACACCTGGCTAATTTTTTGTATTTATTAGAGATGGGGTTTCACCATGTTGGTCTGGCTGGTCTCGAACTCCTGACCTCAGGTGATCCACCTGCCTTGGCCTCCTAAAGTGCTGGGATTACAGGAGCTAGCCACTGTGCCCAGCCCAAAGGCTTGTTTTTTATGAGCTGTATCACTATGCATCCTGCCTTATTCAAAGAAAGTATTTCCATTATAATTGATGTTGGCCTAATTATAGCATCCTACCATTTCCATATAAGTTTGATATATTAATTTCTTATTTTATCACATTTATAATCATCCAATTATGCATTTGTGGCCCTAATTGTTGGCAAGGAATGAGACATGTAACCCAGATGTCACTTGGGATTTCAGTTTCTTGAAGGTTTAGGTGACTTGGGCTCAAATTCTCAATAGGCTGGATTTTGCATGTATAGAATGTGCAATGATTACATCAGGGTATTTGGGATATCTATCACTTATTTGCTTTGTAAACATTTCAAGTTCTCTCTTCTAGAGACTTTGAAATATACAGTATGTTATTGCTAACTATAGTCACCCTGTTCTGCTATGTAATGTCAGAACTTGCACCTTTGATCTCACCATATGTTACGCTCATTAACCAAACTCTCTTCATCACCCCTCCCACCCATACATCCTCCCCAGCCTCTGATATCTATTACCCTACTCTCTATATCCTTGGGATCAAGTTTGTAAGCTCCCATATTAGTAAGAAAATGAGAAATCTTTCTGTGCATGGCTTATTACACTTAATAACCTCCAGTTCCATCCATGTTGCTGCAAATGACACCTCATTCATTTTTTATGGCTGAATAGTATTGCATTGTGTGTATAACACATTTCCTTCATCCATTCATCCACTGATGGACACTTGGGTTGATACCCTCTCTTTGTTATTGTGCATAGTGCTGAATATGCTACTTTTTGTGTATGTGTATTCACCACATAACTTCTATGACTTCCCAATTCCATTTTTCTAATGGTCATCTCTAATCATCATCAATCTTAGCATGTTGATACCATTACAATCCAGCCTACGCCAGCCAACATGAAAACTTTCACTGTCATTTTCCATGAAAGTCCAGTCAATGATTTTGTGAATTTAGTAATATTACTGAAGATGTGAAGGGTTGTAGGAAGAGATCACATCACAGTCTTCCAACGTTTGCCTGTACCTTTAGACTCTGCCACCTTCTAAATGCCCATGCCTCTGACACAAAACCCTTCCATGACCTGCAGACCCATTGAAAATTTGGTAGAGTTCTATCAGTTTGACTTCTTTTATGGAGGATATTCTTTTCAGGTTATTCTGCTCACCTCTACCACCTGGAATTATGGAGAATGTACATTTTTCCATTTTGTTGCACTAATGATAATGAAATGTAACATTACTGAAGCTCATGCCACAAATCAGTGCCAGGGGTGATATGCTCACTTAACAGGTGTTTATTAGGCATCCTCCAAATATTCAGTATTAAGTACTGGAAATACAAAGATAAGACATAGTCATGGGAGAAACATTTTAAAAAGGTTTTTCCTTTTGGAAGAAATGTTATTATGAAGTTATAGAAATTAAGAAGGAAGGCTTTTGGAGATCATCTGTTTCAACCCTTCATCATTGTAGAGACGAGAAAAGTAAGGGATAAGATCATACAACTGGTGGCAGAGCTGGGATTGATACACGTGCCTTCAGTCTCAGTCTAGTTCATTTTCCTGAACATCATGGAATATGGAAGATGTCCATCACATTAGGGATACAAATAAGGATACAAAAATGTGCTGGAGAAACACCAAGAGGGAAAACTCAAGAGATTTACAGAGAAAGAAGAAATAAAACAAGCAGGGCCTCCTAATAAGAAAAAGTAAAGGAAGACATGACAAGTAACAAGACAGTGGTGGGTTCATGTGAGTAGGAATAGTTCACTAGCCAAATGAGGCATGATGCAAAGGGAGCGAACACAGGTATATGTGTGAGTAGGTGGGAAAAGAAGAAACAAAAAACCAGTGCTTCCCCAAGCTTGATAATGTTTCATCTTGATTGTACCCAAAATTTCTTATGTCACTTTTCTCAATATGGGCCATGAAAGAAGAAGTTGGTAATTTTTGAGACATTGAGCATCTTTGAGATTTATTTTACTTTTTTTCTTTTTTTTGGAGACAGGGTCTCACTCGTGCCACCCAGACTGTAGTGCAGTGGTGATCATGGCTCACTGCAGCCTTGGCTTCCTGGGCTCAGGTGATCTTCCTACCTCAGCCTCGCAAGTAGCTGGGACTAAAGGCACATGCCACCTTGCCTTGCTAATTTTTTTGTATTTTTAGTAAAGATGAGGTTTCACCATGTTGACCAGGCTAGTCTCGAACCCCTGGACTCAAGTGATCTGCCTGCCTTGGCCTCCCAAAGTGTTGGGATTACAGGCATAAGCCATCATGCAGGATTTCTAAGGGTTGAAAAAATGAATGGAATGATGAAAAAATAAAATAAACTTTTTCCCAAAAGATTTGTTGGAATCACGGGAGTAGGCACTGGAGCTTCAACCAGTAAAGTTAAATGTGACTGTTAATCCAGGGACTTTAGTATATGATTTATATGGTCCAGAAGTTTCACAACACTGGGCTGCTTGGAAGTGGTGATAGGGAGAAATTGGAAATGTGGCGAGACTTTTGTTACTCCCTAGTGCATTAAAAAAATGGGAAACACCAATTATGTGAAGGATATTTCTACCTCTAGTTTTGTAGTGGTTTCATTCTCAATTAGTACACAAATTGTCCTTATATGTGAATTGGTAACTTGGACCAGTTATAATCCAATTTTTTAAAGTTTATTGCTTGGAAGAAATGAAAGCCCACTTAAAGTAGAATGTATACATTAGGAATAGAAAACAAAATAGAGCAAAGTCATGTAGAAACTAGAACTGGAAATTTAAAAAGTAAGATGCTTCCTCTGTCCTTTAAGTCTACATGTTTTTTTCAACTGCTACATAGTATTTATACATGTTTAGGGGGCACATGTGATATTTTGATACATGCATAGAAAACATGATTATCAAGTGAGGTTATTTATGATATTGAACACTTTTGTGTTGGGAACATTTCAAATCTTCTATTTTGAAATATACAATATATTGCTAACTGTAGTCACCTACTGTGCTGTCGAACACTAGAGCTTACTTTTCTAACAGTATGTTTGTGCCCATTAACCAACCTCTCTTAAACCCTTCCTCCCATCCACACACCCTTCCAGCCTCTGGTAACTATTATCCTACTGTCTACCTCCATAAGATCAACTATTTTGGCTCCCACATATGAGTGAATACATGCAACATTTGTTATTCTATGCCTGGCTATTCCACACAACATAATGACCACCAGTTCCATCCATGGTGCTGCAAATAACAGGATTTATTATGGCTAAATAATATTCCATTTTTTTGTGTGTGTGTGTATGTGTATATTTTTTTCTTTACCCATATATACACTGATGGACACTTAGGTTGATTCTGTGTTGTTGCTATTGTGAATAGTGCTGCAAAACACATGGGAGTGCAGGTGTCCCTTTGAGATACTGATTTTCTTTTCTTTCCTTTGGATAAATTCCCAGTACTGGGATTGCTGGGTCATATGGTAGGTGGCTTGTGTGGTTTCCAGCAGTGGCAGTAGCAGGCCAGGAGGGCCAGTCCCAACGTTGGTAGGTTGTGTGGGTGGTGATGGTGGCGCCAGGCAGTGCAGTCCTATTCTCAGGCCCCCAGATAGTGTGCCTGTTCAGATTGTGGTGGATGCGGCATCTTGAGTGCAGGTGGCAGGTGTTCTGGTCCTGTTGTTAGGTCCTCTGATGGTCCAATTGGGAGCCAGAAGCCACAGGCAAGGCATGTCAACCCCCAGGGCCTTGGGAGAGTGTGCTTGCATGCCAGTGGCAGGCAGGCTGGGACTTTCGTCCAATCTGCATGTTCTTCATGAGTGCTTAGCAGTATTTCCTGCTAAACCTAAGTGGTTTCATCAGCACATGCCCATTATGGCTGCATGACCCAATTCTACATGCTACTGCTTCCGCTTCTTGTACCCGTCGTCATATTTGTTATTTAGTCTGCCTTACAGCTCAAATTCTTGAGGGAGAATCTGGCTCACTGTGCTCAGTTTACATCTTCATTTCCTTTTATAAAGTTGCCACTGTTGGTCAACTCAGTCGTGACTACAGAGGAAGTTATAACCTACCCTGGGCTGGTTTTAAGCCCTTTTCTCCAAGAGAATATGGTTTGCTGTTTCTAAGAAAAGTCCACATGATTGGCTCTGTGATCTAAGTTATCTTTTTCAAGCTTGTAGTTTTGGATAAAAAATTCATGATGCTTCTAATTCATTAAGCATTTCTAAGCGGTCTTTTGGTCTGGGATTCAGATTAGGTGAGGACCTAAGAAATTTAGAATTTGGGTTCTCACGAGGGAAGGTGAGAAATTGAAAGTGCTGGAAATGTGGGGCTTTCTCTCCTTAAGCTGTAAAGAGCCACAACGCTGCATAATATACTTAATGTTGCTGATTCTTTAATGTAGCACCAATTTAAAGAAAATCAGAATAGATTTTTAAAGAAGTCTGTATTTGACATGGTGTGCCTCCCAAATAAAAGCTAGTTTGAGAAGGAGAGGAAATAAAATAAAATAGGTCTGTAGTAGGAGGTTGTCCCAACTGGGGAGTGGGGGTAGGTTTTTTCCCCTTGTCTATAGGTTGTGTAAATGGCGAAATCAGAGAATTCCATTTTCTCCTTTGTGGAGATGTTAGAATCTAATGCAAGGCATCATTTATGCTTCTTAGTAATGTCTGCAGCATTTGGCGGGTCATAGTGAAGGATTTTATTGATTACATTATGAGATATGGATTCAGAAGTCACCAAGACTTTTAGTTCCAGGATGGTTCCTGTACATGCAATGACAGGCTGGCTGTTCATCACTGCAGCTAACACTGAGTTCTCACTGCAGCTAACACTGAGTACCTCGTGGCATGCCCAATTACAGTCCTGGTGAGAGATCTTCAGGGAGGTAATTGTGGTTTCCTTCATTGCCTTCATGTGGCCTCTGAGTGAGGATCCTCACAGTTCCTTTCACAGTCTGGAACAGTAAGTGCACTAATATAGCTTATGGTAATTTTGACTTATCTTGTCTACTGAATTGAATCAATGCTCCCCAATCTCTTTAATAAAACCATTTCCCACAGATGATGAGCAGCTGTTCTTGTCCCAAAATGCTCTGAGAAGGACAATCAGGGGCTAGAAACTATTTTTCTTCTTTAATTGAAAACAAGACTCCCTCCTAGGAATAGGAGAGCAGGAAGAAGTTGATGAAAGAGTGAACCAGAAAGGATGGAGGAATGTAAGGAAGGAGGAGTGTTGTCAGCAGCCTGCCTACAGAGGCTGTATTCGAAGACTATCCAGCTCTCTTGTGTGTGCTACAATTGAAAATGGTTAATAGAGTACTTTGCATCAAGTAGATTTCTTAAAGAGGGCATAGGACACAGGCATTACGGCTATTGGAATTTAACCCATCTGCCAGAAAGAACAAAAGTGATCAGAGCTGTCTGGGTGGTTTCTGATGTCTTAACTACTGCTTATGATTTGCTCTGCTAATAATTTTCTGCTTTCACATGAGAGCCCCCACGTGTAGAGGATGAGGTGGAAGTAGCATGAGTTATATAAGTTTTTTAAAAAACATGTTATATCAAAAAAAAAGGTTTTGTTTTACCTTATATTCTCCTAATTGTCTCCCTTAGTCATTGCAAGAGGATGGCAATAGGCAACAGTGCCAACCAGCTCTGCTGGGGAGGTTGATATGGGAGACTCAGTGAAGGATGGGATGCTCAGACATCCAGTTTAGTGACAGTGGACTGATAGGTGTGTTATTCTGGGAATTTGATAGTCTAAAGGTAATAGTACATGTTGTATTTCTACTAAATTTTTCCAACTGTAACTCATCTTTTACATTTTGAATCTTCACAGCAAAAGAAACATCTTAAATGACTAAGTCCTGAGTGTTTTTATCCTAAAGAGTAGAATAGGCTTTCCTGCTGATTCTGCCATAATACATGGGAACCACTCCTGTAATGGAATCAACACCTCTTTTGCATTAAAATAAACCACAGTTCCAATTCCTAACAGTGGAAATAGAAAACAGCTGGTGAAAACAAGGTGGTATGTGCAAGCCAGCTTTGAGGAATTATTCATATTCATTTTCAGAAGCAAACTTTTATGGGCTTGTTTTTCTTTTATTGCAATGAGCAAACATTAGTTTAGGAGAAAGGCTGTTATCCTAAAAGCATGAAAAACACTTAAGCTGCACCATCTTAGCTGTGACAAGTTTTGGTGATGACTGATGGGTATAATATTGACAACTTCATTTCAAGAACAGGTTGTCAACCTAGAGTGTGGAAGACAACATTATTGGCTCTGGATGAGCAAAATTATTGGTTGTGTCTGTGGAAGGTCTTATTCCAAGAAGGTGAACTCTACTATGTGAGGTGGGGACGGCAAGAGAAGAGGAGAGATGTAACTATGTGTCTTTGAATATAAAAGAAACTGGTCAGATGCATATTTTTAAGACAGGATTGTTGTCCATGTCGGTTAAATAACAGGGTACTATTATTTTACTGCTGACCTGTGAAATTTACCATTTTTATCTGCTTTGCCATTTGAATTGATTAAGTGAACTCCTCCCAAATTGTCATCTGCATTGGTACTTAGTAAGGACATATTTGCCACATGTGTGTTTGTGTTATGGGTACGAAGGTAGATACATATGGCCAACCAACCAGATAGTATACGATAAAATGCTGCTAGTGTTAAAGGAGAAAGAGCCCTTCTGGATTCCTTAATACGTACTTCCATTCAAAATGAAAGACAGCAAGGTTAGTGGGAGGTGGGATGAAGGCACAGGAAGTGGGACAGGCATTACTAGAGTGGTGCATTTAATAACACAGCTGACAACAGCTTTATGCCAAGTCATTTCATGTCTGAATCACATTGGTGCTGTGTGTGTGTGTGTGTTTGTGTGTGTGTGAGTCTACACACACTACATTTCTACAGTGGCTCCCATTCAACTGGTAAGAAGTTTCTGACAGCCTTAAGAATAAGGGGCAAAAAGATGAGAATATCTTGTGTACATCTATATAATGAGTTTTCAAATTCATATTTGAGAAACCAGTTTGAATGTCACTGCCAACATGAGGTATATCTAACTCCATTACTGGAAGGATTTGAGGACCCTTCCCAATTACTGAGATGTTAACATTGCGTGCATTTTT